TTGTCTCTCCTCTATCCACTCACCCCAACCGGTCGAGGCAGAAGGCCGCCCACCAAGAGCCGGGGTCTGTCGGAGGTTTCTTCCGTTAAAGGGAGATTTTCCTCCCCACAATTGCCAAGTGCTTGCTCCAGGGGGATTTGTTGGGTTTTCCCTCTGTAATAATAGTGATAACAGTAAGGTCTAGACCAGGGGTGGGCAAACTATGGCCCGTGGGCCACATCCGGCCCATTGGTCCTTTTAATCCGGCCCGCCAAAGATTGTTACAGGATTGCCCTAATCAAATCATATCATAAGTATGACTGCATTTATTTGACCTTGTCCTATAATGCCTGGCGTTCCACCAGGTGGCGTGGTGATACATTGGCTTGATTTTGCGGAGCCAGGGCTACTCTTAGTTATTATTCTGTTACTGCTCTGAACCCATCTGCAACAATGAGTGGGCCAAAGAAAAGAAAATTCAACAGTGAGTGCTGAGTGTTCAATAAGGAATGGACAACTAAATATTTTTTACTGAAGTCCAGTCAAAGGCTGTATGTCTTATTTGCCAAGACACTGTTGCGGTTTTAAAGGAATACAACATCAGCCATCACTTTTCTACCAAGCATGCTAATTATGCTAACAACCAGTCAACACAAGAACGGACAGCTACTGCTCAGAGGCTGGCAGCTAGTTTGCTGCTCAGCAAAACAACTTTATATGACAAACTGCCATCCAAGAATCAAGCACGAAGGCAGGTTATTTGCTGGCATTCAAATTAGCAAAGACTAGCAAGCCTTTCTCCGAAGGAGAGTTTCTCAAAGAGTGCATGGTAGAGACAACAGGTATCTTGTGTCCTGAGAGCAAGAACAAATTTGAAAAAATTAGATAATCACGCAGGACAGTGACTCGCCGTGTTTAATACAGTGTTTTTATTTTTATTACAAATTTTCATTAAATGAGACCTACAAAAATATCAGTGTTTCCTGGCAATTACAGTCCTTAGGCAGAAAGAAAATCGGAATCGGCCAAAATCAGAATCTACAGTTTAGACTTAAAAAATCAGAAACTGAAAATTGGAAAAATTGCAATTGGTGCATACTACCGTGCCTGAGGATTTCTGTGTGTTATCTGCTTGATGAAAGCAGTATGATAAACTGAAGTTTGAAACAAATAACCACAATGTAAACTAAAACAAATTTACTGTTAAAACACTGGGGCGTTGGAGGGGTTGGGGCTGGGCCGATGAAAAGGAGAGTAGGAACTGCTGCAACAAGACATGGAATGAGCACATACACTACATAATCCACCAGGAAGCACTGTGTAAATCTGTATTGCAGCTTGACCACGTAGTGAAGACAATTGTAAAGCTCGTTAACTTTATTCGAGCAAGGGGACTTCAGCATCGTCAGTTTATTAAGTTTCTTGAAGAAACTGACGCTGATCACCAGGACTTGCTTTATCACGCTGGTTAAGTTTGGGGAAAATATGTCAACGAGTGTGGGAGCTCAAACAGGAGATTAGCTCATTTTTGGAACTACTTGAGAAAGCTGACGATTTTCCAGAGCTGAGTGACACAGATTGGCTTTGTGATTTAGCTTTTCCTGGGGACATACTGACACATATGAATGAGCATAACGTGAAGCTACAAGGGAAAGATCAGTTTGTGTATGAAATGTTCAAACGTCAGAACCTTCAAAACCAGGCTAGCATTTATTCTCAAAGCAAATGCCAAATAAGTCATTCGCTCATTTCCCCACACTGGCTATGCTGAAAGAGGCCCCTCGACACGTGAAAAAATACAGGAAATCACTGGACGACCTGCGCGAAGAATTCTGCCCTCGGTTCTCTGATTTTGGAAAAATTGACAAGTCACTTTAGCTGGTGTCATGTCCCTTGACACAGACCCTGAAACGGCGCCACAGGAGTTGCAGTTGGAACTGATTGATCGCCAATGTGACACCATCTTAAGGAGAAGTTCAGTTCTCTTAAACTGGATGAGTTTTATGCTTCATTAAGTGCAGCCAAATTTCCAAACATCCAGAAGATGGCAGAGAGGATGCTGGTGTTGTTTGGCTCTACCTATGTGTGATGAACAGAGTTTTAGTGTGATGAACACCAACAAAGCACCCCGCAGATCCCAGTTGAGTGATGAACACCTCAGATCTGTTCTGAGAATTGCTACAACAAAACTAACACCAGACTCCGATGCACTGGCAAAAAAGGGTGATCAACAACACTGTTCCTGAAAGTGAATGTAAGTATTAACACTGTAATGCCTTTTATATGTTTATGTTTGATATGTATGCATCTGGTGCTGGCCCGGCCCGTCTGTCAAATTTTAAAAGTCAATGTGGCCCCTGAGCCAAAACGTTTGCCCACCCCTGGTCTAGACCCTACTCTGTAAAGTGTCCTGAGATGACTTTTGTTGTGATTTGGCACTATACAAATAAAATTTGATTTGATTTGATTTAATGTGTAAACACTGCAGGCTAGAGATTGGTCAGAGAAATCATGTAACTTACCCTCTTGCGTCACCTTTGAGCAACCAGTCGTCTCATCGTCTTAACTCCAAAGTACTATTTACCAGACTCTCCTGTCTGTTTCAGCAGCTTTTGTCTTGCTTCCCTTCAGCTGCTTCTGAAACAAAATCTCTCTTTGCTGTGACAAACGGCCACATACCAAGAATGAAGAACAGCACACCTTCAGCATACCAGTGTAATGCAGCATCGCTGTTCAACCATCTACAGTGCAGGGGGGACTATCTACAGTGGAAAACCAAGCAGGTGGTACCAAAAGCAAGTAGAGCTGATTATGGTCAAGTCAAGCCGGTACCAGGTGATGGAAAACGGGCCTAAGTGAAGAAAGCTTGTTGCATCTTCAGAGAATCTGAAACCAAGCAGCATCTGAAGGTGAACCCGCCACTGTGTAGATGTGTTCATGGACAGTGTCAGGCTGAAGAACTCACTGCTTCAATCTTGTCAGGATTGGACAGCAGAGCAGCTCCCATGCCGCCCTGCAGGATGACACAGGTCAGAGGTCAGCCAGGGGTCAAAGGTCAGAGCAAAATTAGGTTGCCAACTGACAGATGACTCACCTTAGTGGAGTATTCCTTTGGACAGCCCATGTTCACATCGATGGCAGCCACATCCTTCTCCCTGTGGACGGAAACAGTCATCACATTAACTAGCCTGGCCCACCAAAGCATCATGGGAAACAAAATGGCTCCTAGACAAACTGTATTTTTGTCATATTTCCAGTTTGAGAACCCCAAACATACAAAAACAAGTTGTGTCCCAGTTTCATACAACATCGTGTGCTCACAGTGAAAGCGACAAAGTAGCTTCCACACTTTACTTGATCACAGAGGGCTCCATGGACTTCACACATTGCATTTTCAATAGAATAAAAAATGTAACAAAATTTTAAATCAACTCACATTCTTCAGTACTCCCTAGGATTTCGTAGATAGAACGATTAATGCAAACTGTCAGACTCATCAAAATAATCATCTGTTGCAACCCTAACTGTTTTACAGTTTCTCCCAGTGCCCCCAGTCACAATGTGAACATAATGGGAGACTCTGGTTATGTCCACATTGTGACTGGGCTGAATGAACCTCGCAGTTTAGAGGTGTAAAACTTACACAAGTCGAGCCACGGTCAGCGCTCTGTCTGGGTCGGCAGTCCCCTAGAAAACAGAAAACTCTTTCTATAGGTTACACAGCAAAGTGGCACCAGAGACCAGAGGAAACACGTGTGTTTTCTGTCACCATCTGGAAGACGACTCGGTCCTTCTCCCTGTCACAGGTCCTGAACATCACTCGATCATCTGGAGCGACAAAATCCACCGTCTGCAGCACCTCTGACAAACACACAAATAAAAACAGTTGGTCGTTTTCCACCTCGGACCAGCTCAGCTGCTAAGCTGGGTGTGTCGGTCTGGTGCCAGTCAGTCTGGAGTATCAGCACCGATTCTCACCGTTCACCACCCTCTGACACTGGGCCATCTTCATGTCAATCAGCTCCTGGAACAGACACCAGCGTTTATAACACTTTAACCCCGAGCTCGGTTCTCCCTCGCCTCCCATCCTGCGTCCTCACCTCGCAGTAAACCACATCGGCTCCGTAGTCCAGAGCCAGCAGCCTCATGGGGAGAGTCCCCACCCGGACCATGGGAGCCAGGGCGGTGATGTTCCTGAAGCTCAGCCTACCTGCTGCCATCGCGGCGGCTCAGATCCCCCCCGCAACAACAGCACTCGTCTGTCAGCACTGTGTAGAAATCATTAACTGCTCTTGGTCACAAACCGCGTTATTTCACACAAAATCGTCTGATTTAAGGCGGTTTCGGGTCGGCCAGAAGACGACTTGGCTTTATTCTTCGATTCGGCGGCAAACAATCAGCACACACCGAACTAACGTGAATAACACAGACTTAGAACTGCTTCCATGCTGCCATAGGTTAGCTAATGCTACGTTAGTTTCAGTAGCCAGTACAAGACAGCTTAATTTAGATTATGACAAAAATACAAATGAAATAGTCAATTACACGCTAAACTACAACACGACACTGATTTGCAAACACTTCAAAATTAGGCTCTGTCGAGTATATGAGCTAGTAGAAAAGCACAGCTTTTAAACTGCGACTTTTCTGAATGGAGTTCGGCGAAATGGATTGACTGGGGCCACGCTAACGTCCTACGTGCTGCATCAACACAACATTAATAAACAAACCAGCCATGCTAACCTCTGCACACATTCATATCTATACGCTGTAAAACTTAAATCAACTCGCCGGCACCTGTCGCCTGTTGATAATAACAGCTCCCGTCTCGTGCCCTCATGTGAGAAAATGCTCTGTTTGCACTTCCTGTTTGGACAATACGTCATAAAGCGGTCACGAGTGGAGATGTACCACACAGGTACATTGTCGCTCAGAAACATGGCACCACTTGTGTTCTGATTCATTGCACTGCTGTACTTGCTTTTACAAAATGTGCTCTAAAATACACCCATGTTAACTTTACAAGCAGGCTAATTTATAGTGTAAACGTGTATTTCATGATAAAACAAGACACCCGCTGCTACAGATCCTGCACTGTGTTTTTCTCTGACCCCCTTTAGAAAAAACACCTGGATTTGTTACGTTATTTGTAAATAACAACAGAATGAATCCTCTTACAGTTTTAAAGTACAGAAATATGGTTGTGCTTCCATGAGGATCATTTGAGTGTCTTTCTGATCAGACAACATTTAGGAAGGGAATGCTTTATATGCTGTAATACATAGTTTATTACATTTTTTTAACTAATACTTTATAGTTAAGTATTAAGCAGTAGTGCAAGGTAACCAAGTACAGTCACTTTGAGATAGCTTACCTGTACCATGATTATGTATTTTCTTTTCAATGTACTTCATTTCACCTCGTAGGGAAATATTTTTAGTTTTGTGGCACTACATTTATTTACTTTACAAACTAAGATTTTATATACATATGAAGAACATATAAGATTTGTGGCTTTGCTACAGTTGAACAGAAAAAGTTGCGTGGACATTCTAGTTTTGAAGAGCAACAAATGTCCATGGGACCTGGAGGAGAGGCCTAAGAGGAAAGCACACTGGTGCCCTGGTTAAGTTATACCAGCGGGGTGACGATATCCTGTTCCGTAGAGAGAATCTTCGCTCTCTTGCCAACAAAACGGATGAACTACTCTTTGTCAACCTGACTAATTCTGACTTCTCACGGTCTGCTACTCTGTGCTTCATCAAGAAGAGGTGTCTGCTCAACCTAAGCGCCGTGTTCTGATTAGGCACCATCTATAAGGGGTTTATCAGCTGTAATTCATTTGCCTGTGCTTTACTGATGAGTTACAGTCATGGACAAAAATACCGATACCCCTGCATTTCTGTGAGATAATGCACCACTTCTCCCAGAAGATGGTTGCAGTCACAGATTCTTTGGTATCCCCATGTTTATTCCTTTTAGTTGCATTGGAACAACACAAAAAACGAGCAGTGCTTGAGCTTGAAAAATATGTTTTATTACAAGTCTACCATATCTTTCATGCTATGGAATAGAAAATTTTGTTTGGCTATGATTAAAAAAAAACTTACAGTTCCAAGGTCCAATGTGTATAGTTTCCATGGAATGACTCTAAAGTGCTTCTCAAGTAATCCAATGCAATATGTTTTGCAAAAGGCACTAACAAAATATATTAAAATCTAATAGAGTGAATCAGTTAATAAAGAATATTTAAATCTAGATATTCTCCAGTAAGTACCTTTTCACACCAAGTCTCAGAAATAATATTGATGGTGAAAAAAATAAAAACGTGGAAAAACGTGACTGCCTCTGGGTTTCTGGAAAGACGTTGATGCTTTTTGAACAGGCTCATCCAAGCTGTGTGAACTTCCTCACTGCAACTCATAATGTGACTCAGAAATGTGTATGGCCCCCGCCTGCCTATATGGCCTCCCGACAACGTCTGAGCATGCTTCTGATGAGTCAGCGGATGGTGTCCTGGGGGGTCTCCTCCCAGACCTGGCTCAGGGCATCACAGGGCTATCCACATACTCTTTGTTACATAGTGTTTGTAGCATTTTCTGAAATCATTTTTTCTTCCTATATTCAGAACAGTGACTACAGAGTGGGACCTGGTGTGAAAAGGCCATAAGGCACCAGTAACACTGAGCAGATAAAACTACACACTATCACTCAGTCAGAGATCTGTCTTGTTGCAGAAGAACCAAATGGGTCCACAATAGGAATAAAAGTCATTTTCATAGTGTGACATTGTCAGCTTTAGGTTGTTGTATCTGATGCCTTAGAAGAGGAAAAATGCTAAGTGCAAGCAGCCCACACAGGAAAGCAGGCGTAGGGAAAAAATCAGTGTCATGGAGGGTCAAAGGTCAGACAGGAAGCTCCCACACCAGGAACAGATGATTGAACATATACAGTAAGGAAATAGAAACAGGAGGAAAAACACACCAATGTTCATATATGCAAAAATGAGTTTTAAGAAGTAGCAGACAAACTGGTCCTGCCTGGTGACCGGCCAGTCTTCTCTGAAGGGCTGTTGATCTCGATGGGGTCAAGCTGTGGGAAGACCACGAAACACAATGCCTGGCCAACGTATGTTGCCCTCTCTGTAGGAAAACACATGGCCAGATTATTTATTAGCTAAGATAGACAGGCTGTGAATCCAAACCCAGCAAACAGGCAGGTGTTAAAAAGTTGAAAATGTTTCAAAAAAACTAATTCAGTTCCCTCAACATAAAACCTTACAAAGCATGAAAAGTCTTGAATTTCATTTACAAAGGTCTTGAATATTATATTTTGCCTTCTGCAGACAGTAACATTAGATGTGTGAGCGACTGTGCTTCAGTGGATAGAGCAGTTGTCTCCCAACCAGAGGGTTGGAGGTTAAAATCTCAGTGCCTGCAGTCTACACCTCAAAGTGTCCTTGGGCAAGACACTGAACCCCCAAGTTGCCCCTGATGGTTAGAGCCATCGGTGTGACTTGGTGCCACAGATCTCAACTCCCTGTTCTGTACTGGAAACAAATTCCTTGTCTGTGTAACATACTTGGCCAAATTAAGTGATTATCATTATCCCTAGATAAACTCTTGGCTGTCAGGAGAGAGTTGTTACAAAGCTCCTTGAGTGTGCATTTAGCAAACAGGTGTATTAACCAGTTAAACATTCTTTTATTTTTTTTACTGACAATAAAGCCTTGTTGGCTGTTGTGCATCTCTGTGTTCTCTTTGTAGTGGTCATTTTGTGTCTGTCTTGTGGTCTGAGGTATTGAATTGCACTCTGTATGTTATTATTATACCCTGACCCCATTTGGGACAAAGCGGTATGGAAAATGAGATGAGATGTTATTATTACATTTCATTTGGTGAACACTGCAGAAAGCCTGACACTTTTAAGCAGGGTTCCCCCACTGACAAATGTTTCAGAGTCTCACCAGTGAAGTTGTAGATACACATAGGTTTTTCTTTCCAGTGTACACCCAGAAAGTAGACAGGTACACCGGTGAGCATGATGACCAGGCCGACGCCACAAACTACCGGCTCTGAGTAAAGGCTGAAACCCAGCAACAGTGCCCAGAACATCAGGTAGCACACAGGAACCAGCAGATTCACCTGAGGAAAATGGTTTTTACAACAATTTGGTGGTAATGAGGTGCATGTGATGACATGGAACATTAACTATGGAGATAAAAAGATTGCTAACGTCTGACAGAGTTGGTCGATACCTTGATGGGTCGGTACAGGTTGGGTTTCTTCCAGCGACAGTACAGCAGACCTGCGATGGTGACGCCATATGACAGGTAGTTGATGAAGGAGACGTAGTTGATCAAGTTGTGTGTTTCACCGATGCAGAGTATCACAATGGTGGCAGTGCACTGCAAAACACAGCAGGACATAATGTGATGAATGAAGGGACACGTCACCAAAAGTATATGTCAAAGTCATATTTTGCTCAGTCTGTTAGAAAAGTTGTATAATGTATTCTGGAGCTCAGATGATCTTTGTCAAATCTTAGAAAACAACCAAGGCAGGGCTGATGTCTGTCAGGATCAAAAAGATTCACATTAACGACTTACAACAGGTCAACAAGTTGGTTGTATGACTATAGACTCATCATGTGAAGATTCAAACACTGTGCACTGATGAAATAACACAAGAGCATGTTTATGATAATCACTTTATTTGGCTCCCCTCCTTGAACCGCCTTGGATGGATGGATGGACTTTATTTGGCTGAGTACATTATACACAAGACAGCTGTATGTGGAGCCATCAGGGGCAGCTTGGGGTTCAGTGTCTTGGCCAAGGACACTTCAGCACATGGACTACAGGCACTGTGAACTGAACCCCCAACCTTCTGGATGAGAGACGACCGATCTACCCCTGACCCACATCATGTGACATAATTATGTGAATTGCAATTATGAGTTCCTGCTTCAAATGCTCTACCATCATCCCAGACATCCTTCACTATAAACTGACCCAGCTCACTGTGCCTGCCCCCACCTGTCAATGGATCACCAGCTTTCTGGCAGACAGGAAGCAGCAGGTGATACAGTTCTACAGAGGAATCATCGAGTCTGTTCTCTGCACCTCCATCACTGTCTGGTTTGGCTCAGCAACCAAACAGGACAGGAACAGACTTCAGTGGACAATCAGGACTGCAGAAAGAACCAGCGGTGCCAGCCTGCCCTCCATGGAGGACCTGTACACCGCACGGGTCAAAAGGAGGGCAGAGAGGATCACTACAGACCCCTCACACCCGGGACACAATCTGTTTGAACTCCTCCCCTCTGGACAATGTTACAGGTCACTATACGCCAAGTCAACCAGACACAAGGACAGTTTTTTCCCCCAGGCCATCACTCTGGTTAACACTTAACCCATGACTGTGTAACAGGATGACAACCCTCAGTGCAAAACCTTGGAAATATACTTTTGTATATATGTATTTAATAAATTGCATCTAAACTGTGTGTATATATATATTTCTATAAGTACTTTATTTTTATTTTCATAAAGCACATCCATTTTTTTGTTTGCACATTACTTTTCTTTTCTTGTTCTGTCAGTCTCATCTTATTTACTTGTTGGCTTATGGAAGAACATTGTACATGAACACTGAGAGACGCTGTACCAGATTTAAATTCCTTGTGTGTCCAACACACCTGACCAATAAAGCTGATTCTGATTATGATTCAAACAGTTCAAATATAGTAAAATAGCTTAAAATGGATACCCATGGTGTAATTGCAAGTTCACATAGCTGTAGTCATTCATAGCCTTAGTTCAGGCAGAGCTCAGTTCCTTAAGGACTCATGGGTAAAAACTGTTCAGTAATGTGGAAGTGCTGGTTTTCACGGATGTATATATTGCCCTCCAGAAGGCAGCAGTATGATCAGGTGGTTACCTGGGTTGCATGAGACCTTGATTATGTTTTCTGTGTTGTAGGCAGCAGGATCTGTAGATGTGCTCTACTCAGGGTAACTGTGAGCTGGTGATGTGTCGTGCTGCGTTAATAACTACCAAACCATTTCCTGTCAGCCGCTGTGCTACTATCACGTATTTAAAATGTGCTGAATGTAGTTCATGTGCATCATGTGACATGAGTGGTAACTGACCATTGGCTACTGAGTCATCAAAACCTTTAAAACACATACCTGAAACACACCAGTTAGAGATGATGAAATGAACGAGCCTGAGCAAGCCACAGTGTGAAATATGTTTGCTGCAAATTTGTAATGTGCGCACCCTAAATAAAAAAAGATTACATAGACATTGCTGGAGTGCACTGGAGTGCTGAATACAATACTTTTATCAAATATTAACCAGCTTTGTCTTGACTCTTGGCAGATCTGTCCAGTTGTCACTCATGTTTTGTAATTTCCTGCCAACACTCAGATAAAAACTACCACACACTAACAAGAGCAAAAGCAGCTAATAAACTTAAATATCAACTATGTAAATATCAGGCAACATATGTAGAAACACTGAGACCAATGTAACCCCAAAGTGAGACTACATACGCAGACCAGTAGGGCAGGGATGGGCGTACAGTTTTGGTAGTGGATCATGGCCAGCAGGCTGGGCAGGTGACCCTCTCTGGCTCCTGAGAAACATAACCTGCACACAGAAATAGAAGACCAAAGTGAGACTGCCAGCAGCCTCGATGCAGCAAAGTTTACAGTGAGAGCAGTGGAGCTCACCTGGACGAAGTAAACAGGTAACCGTTGATTCCTCCAAAGGTGGACAGAGCCACAGAGATCGGCATGACGACAGAGAACATTCCTAGAAGCTTTTCCCCAAATGTCTGAACAGCAGAACAACAGACAGAATCACAGACCTGATAACACTGCAGCCTGTCCTTCCTGATCCTCTATCACCTACTTAAAGCTGCATGTGTTAGCTAGGTACAGCAGCAGTACGACCCTAGGGACAGCACATGTGACCTGTGGGTTGTTCTTCGAGTGCGACTCTAAGCAACTCTTGAATGCTGAACATCATCTTGTTGCTATGATAACTGAGAACATGTTAAGAAAGTTAGCCTATAGCTGCACTCAGGGGTTAAAGGACTCGCTTCTTAATCCTAACAGTGATTTTACTAATGTATAAATGGGGAAATGAACCTAAGTTAACAGAGCCACGAGGTTGCACTGTGTGGATGTTGTAGCCGCATTCCAACAAATCGTTGCTTGCTTCTCTTCCTGCAAGGGAAGGGTCCCTCACTGAAACCATGACAATAACTTGGTGGCAACAACATGGCAAAGAAGCTGGCACTGAAGCTGGATGAAAAAACTGTGGTCCTCAGCAAACATCACAGCAGGAGTCAGCTCCTGTTGATTCTTCCTTTACAGTATCAAGAAGAGTTGCCACTCTCTCACAATGACCCAAGTGCTCATTCCAGGCACTTCCTGTCTGGACTACTTTAAATTTCTGTTTGCTGGAGACCCCAGGTCTGCAGGGCAGTAAAAGGAACTGCTCCTTCCTACCTCCAAGCCTGGGTCAAACTCTAAATCTGGAGCACCCAGTTGGAGGAGGAGCCTGTGGTTGCACACCTCAGTCAAGGCTCTTCTTGCTTCACAGTGGTGGAATGAACCAACTCACTGTCCATATTCCACCACATGCTGATGACCACTTTTTCAGACTTGTGTCTCATATTCTCATAGCACTGAACATGGTTTTAGCCACTGTCTAAAAGGGATGCACTGCCAATCCTGGTTGATATCTGGATCTCACTCAGTTTAGCTGCACTTATTGTGAATCACTTTGGACATAAGCAAATTAATCTAATGTAATTACAGGATTTTATTACATATGTATTTGAATAAACAGAAATTAATTTGTTTCATTGGTTTAACAGTTAATTTGATTTCACCTTGAGAACTTGTACCCTATTCTCTTGCTGATGGCCAGAGTGGCTCACTTGTATGTAACCTTTTTTGACACTAGGGAGCACACTGAAAGACAGCCTACATGCACTCAGCTCTTCCACCGGGTATCAGGGTGCAATCACCATCTTGCTTGTAATGTTCCTGATCTAGGAATAGTTTGTTGTTCACCACTGATCTCAACAGCAAACACATGAAGCAGCACACAGTTGTTGCCCCTTCGGCCAAGTTACTCACTACGGCCACAGCATTGGATGACAGCAGCTCATCGGGCGACATGGAGGAGAAGTAGGCAATGTTGGTGAGTGTGTACACAAAGGTCACCAGTGGTATGGAGATGTAGATGGCACGAGGTAGATTCCTGGCCAAGGCCACACACCATGCACAGGTGAAATTAAAAATCAATCAAACATGCATAAAAGTTGATCAAAGGCACTAGAAACGGAAAAACAGTTTTAATGTTAAACATCACACATTCATGCTGGGTTGTTTCTGGTTCACAATCTCACAGTTAGTGTGGGTGAAAAATACCAGCCAACAATAACTGACATGCAGGGCTCAATGCTTTGGTGTTTAACCACTTTTCAATGTCCAAAAACTGCTTTCAAAAAGGACAATCTGATTTGAAACAAACTTTCCCCCCCAACACACATGCACACAGAGGGTGATAAGATTCCTGCAGCAAGAAGAAATGAACATGAGGCTTTGCAATAAATATCGTCCTGTCCTGGCAAACAGTGCAGAAAAGTTTCAGGTTATAAATGGTTACAACTAAACTGGGGAGAAAATACCAATGAACTATGTACCGGACTTGGTCTAAAAAAAGGGCAGGGGTTCAACTGCAGAAAAAAGTCAGATTGTCACTCATTGTATTATTGCTCTTTAATCTGCGCTTATGCCTTTGTTCCTTTATCAAACTTAACACTGGTGGAGGTGTGAGCACCAACAGCTTGGTATATCACCCCACAAAAACCTGAAAGTGTACTAGTTAAAGACACATAATGAAGATTATGTTTTATTTTATCCAAAATGTCATAAACAACCTGGACAAGCAGAGCCACAAAGTGTGTTGAGGCAGCAGCTGAATATATGTCACAGCACTGCTACGGAGCATGAATATTCACCGTCTGGGATCAATCACTTCCTCTGTAACATAGTTGAGGAAGTTCCATCCACTGAAGGCAAAGGAGGCCTGCAAGAAGGCCAGAGCAATCTGCCCAACCGACGGTGTCCTGTCCATGGAAAAGGCCATCTGAGGAGTTAGAGCCCCGTAGTTACCTGGAAGGTAAGTCACACGTTAGAGTTTTGCTTCCTTCAGGGAGCAGTACGGCTTTAGGCCACAAGCTATGAGGGTTACCATTGAAAATCTGCACTAGGCCGACCATGATGATGAGGCCCAGAGCCATCAGCTTCCCCAAGGTGAAGATGTCCTGGATCCTGGTAGCCATACGAACGCTGGAGCAGTTCACCCATGTCAACAGCACTGAAACACAAGAGCCATAGCTCTGACTCAAGCCACCGACAGGGTAACTAATTACTCAGTAACTATGGATAATTTTTAAGTAAAATAGTTTATTGGTCTGATTTTATGTACATATATATTCTGCACAGTGTACAAACACTTCGCACTAAAACAGGGATGACATTCAGGGGTTTTTGTCCTTGTGACCCACCCAAGTCTAAATGCTGATCAGTACCTGAATACTGATTTATCAAATACATGTATAAGTTCAGTTTTACCTGGAGTCTACAGCTACGCCAACATCTCTCTGAGGACGCACCTAAGCTCTGTATCCTAACATGCAAACTCACTGGTGTTCAACAGGTGTCACATTTATTATGTTAACCATCTGAGATTAATGTGTTAAGATGGATTAAACAGGCTCGTGGGAACATCTGTACTTTTGCTTCCGATATGTTTTAAGACTGACTTTAAAATCTTGTATATTTTTAATACCCTCAATGATAAAGCTCCATCCTATTTAGCTAAACATTTAGTTGCCTATACACACTGTAGAGATCTCAGGTCCTCCAATTTCTTTCAGATGTCCTGAGACAGGCTTTTGCTTTTGCTGGGGTGACAGGGCTTTTTGGTTGCTCCCAAAGTGTGGAATGCCTTACCACCAGAGATCTGACCAAGAGCTTTTTAAAATTCAATTTTATTTCTTGAAAAATGCCTGAAAAGCCAAACGGCTTAATTTTCCACCTGCCATTAAATGCACCATATGTCTGTGGGTCTGAGAGCAAGAAAATCCTCTAGTCCTTAGACGTGTGCATAACATGATCTGAGTGTCTGGCGATCTGCATGTGCATCTAACAATTCATAAATACATTTTAAAGAACTGCATACAGAAAAAGGTTTTTACACATTTGTATATCTGGATTTTATCTGTAGATTGACAAATACGCATTTGTGGCCTTCATGAGTCACACATAAATCAGTTTTTACACTTTTGTAACCTTGACTGTATTTGGAAATTGCAGAATACACACTCACAAACACAGGCAGCAGACAGCATCCGCATGGCCATGTATGGAGGAACACAGTTGGGGAAGACCGGCTGCAGGACATAGCTGGAGAAGGTGAGTGCAATTACAGCCAGCGTGGTTGGGTACATGATGAGGACAGCACTCCACAACAGGAGAAACCTGGACCAGACAAGGCCATTCAGGGACATGAGGCACATTTAAAGAACAGAACAAAAATAATTCTGTGTGAACATAAAACTGCAGGAAAAACGTTGACCTGAAATTATTCTCAAACTTTCACATCACACACATGAAGATCAGTGACGTGCGGTGAGGTTGACAGCTGGTGAGGCACTGACTCTTTTACAGTCAGATTTACAAATACAAATGAACCGTTAACAAATTGTCTGTTAACAGACAATGTGTTATGTTTTATATCTCATATCAGCCTTCTTCACACAAACGTGACCCATATTTAATTTGAGGTTCAAATTTATTCCAATTGAGCTTATTTCGAACTAGAAATAATAAAAGTTTATGGTCTTACGTTTACGTGTACCCGAATTTCGTTTGCCAGCTGGTATGTATTACAAACCCTTTTACTGTTCGAATTCAATATTAAAACAAATGTTCTCAATAAAGAAGATCCTTCTGGACAAAAATGTCCAAACTGTCAAAAATGTTTTGATTGAAAGTCCAGATTTGCGAATTTTCTCAGCTTGGAAATGTAATCTTCCATTTTGATAAGGCGGATTGTAAAGGAAATATAAACAAACATTATCCAGATTATGGCAAGGCAGAGCATATAATCAGAGTGTTTGAAAGCATTTTATTTACGATATATAGAGGGACAGCGACACACTATTTGCATCGCATACAGTTTGTGAGGATTACACGATCCACCGAGAGGCACAGCAAAGTGCTGCCTCATCGCGCATCTCCTCCATGTATTTGAACGGGACATACGGGAATTCTGCTATTCTTTATTGAAAAAAATTCCTTCAACATCGGATTCGAATGGCAAAAGGGCCTACAACACACACCAGCCGACAAATATTAACATTCATTATATTTTATGATTAACTTTTTTTTCTTGTCAAGATTGACAGGGGAGGCTCTGCCTCACCTGCCTCCCCTGACCGCACGTCACTGATGAAGATGGGTTACCTCTACTACTATTATTAATTAACATAGCTGTGGTGGTTACTGTTTTCAGTGTAATTTGGTGAGGTAGAGTGCTTTTTCCAGGGCTTTTCCTTCTTTAACCCAGGCAGCCAAAACTGCTTTGTCTAATTGGTCAGGACGATTAATTTGTATAGAAAGAAATAAGCGAAATAACGTAAACATGGGACAACACTAATGAAACAACAACAACAAGCCAGTGACAAAAAATACACAGATTAGTGGCTGTTGTGAGGACAGAGGTCCTTTCCTGTACTGGGAAACGTCAACATTCAGTAGCCCGATTGCAGAAAGAATAAAAGAATTTGCATATCTATTTGTTTTCAGTGTCGGACCATGAAGTGAAGTACAATAGTAATAAAATTACATTGCAGACCCCAAAAGAGTTCAGTTTCCTAAGTAAAGGTATCCGCTGATGACCTTTATTGAAAAGACTTTGTTCTCTTCAAATTTAAGTTGGCAGTCAAACACTGTACTGTGAAATATTGAAGCATTTAGGTTGCTAGATACAGTGCCTTGCGAAAGTATTCGGCCCCCTTGAACTTTGCGACCTTTTGCCACATTTCAGGCTTCAAACATAAAGATATAAAACTGTAATTTTTTGTGAAGAATCAACAACAAGTGGGACACAATCATGAAGTGGAACGAAATTTATTGGATATTTCAAACTTTTTTAACAAATAAAAAACTGAAAAATTGGGCGTGCAAAATTATTCAGCCCCCTTAAGTTAATACTTTGTAGCGCCACCTTTTGCTGCGATTACAGCTGTAAGTCACTTGGGGTATGTCTCTATCAGTTTTGCACATCAAGAGACTTAAATTTTGCCCATTCCTCCTTGCAAAACAGCTCGAGCTCAGTGAGGTTGGATAGAGAGCGTTTGTGAACAGCAGTTTTCAGTTCTGTCCACAGATTCTCGATTGGATTCAGGTCTGGACTTTGACTTGGCCATTCTAACACCTGGATATGTTTATCTGTGAACCATTCCATTGTAGATTTTGCTTTATGTTTTGGATCATTGTCTTGTTGGAAGACAAAGCTCCGTCCCAGTCTCAGGTCTTTTGCAGACTCCATCAGGTTTCCTTCCAAAATGGTCCTGTATTTGGCTCCATCCATCGTCCCATCAATTTTAACCATCTTCCCGGTCCCTGCTGAAGAAAAGCAGGCCCAAACCATGATGCTGCCACCACCATGTTTGACAGTGGGGATGGTGTGTTCAGGGTGATGAGCTGTGTTGCTTTTACGCCAAACATAACGTTTTGCATTGTTGCCAAAAAGTTCGATTTTGGTTTCATCTGACCAGAGCACCTTCTTCCACATGTTTGGTGTGTCTCCCAGGTGGCTTGTGGCAAACTTTAAACGACACTTTTTATGGATATCTTTAAGAAATGGCTTTCTTCTTGCCACTCTTCCATAAAGGCCAGATTTGTGCAGTATACGACTGATTGTTGTCCTATGGACAGAGTCTCCCACCTCAGCTGTAGATCTCTGCAGTTCATCCAGAGTGATCATGGGCCTCTTGGCTGCATCTCTGATCAGTCTTCTCCTTGTATGAGCTGAAAGTTTAGAGGGACGGCCAGGTCTTGGTAGATTTGCAGTGGTCTGATACTCCTTCCATTTCAATATTATCGCTTGCACAGTGCTCCTTGGGATGTTTAAAGCTTGGGAAATCTTTTTGTATCCAAATCCGGCTTTAAACTTCTCCACAACAGTATCTCGGACCTGCCTGGTGTGTTCCTTGTTCTTCATGATGCTCTCTGCGCTTTAAACGGACCTCTGAGACTATCACAGTGCAGGTGCATTTATACGGAGACTTGATTACACACAGGTGGATTCTATTTATCATCATTAGTCATTTAGGTCAACATTGGATCATTCAGAGATCCTCACTGAACTTCTGGAGAGAGTTTGCTGCACTGAAAGTAAAGGGGCTGAATAATTTTGCACGCCCAATTATTCAGTTTTTTATTTGTTAAAAAAGTTTGAAATATCCAATAAATTTCATTCCACTTCATGATTGTGTCCCACTTGTTGTTGATTCTTCACAAAAAATTACAGTTTTATATCTTTATGTTTGAAGCCTGAAATGTGGCAAAAGGTCGCAAAGTTCAAGGGGGCCGAATACTTTCGCAAGGCACTGTATAAAGCACTTGAACACAGCCGAGGCCAACAAAGTGCTTAACATAAGATACAATTCAAAACATCTAAAAACGTGACAACTACAATATTAAAATACCAATAAAATAACATAAAAGAACCAACATAGCAAAATAACAAAATACTATCAACCAAAACTCAGCCCAAACAGAGTCTCATAGCATATCAAACGCCAAAGCATACAAGTGAGTCTTCAAGTAAGTTTTAAAAATAGCCAACGAGGCGGCCTGCCTGATGTAAAGGGGCAGCGCATTCCATAGCTTAGGAGCCACAATGGAAAACGCTCTGTCCCCTCTGAGTTTACGCCTGGCCCACGGTACCTCAAGCAAGAGCTGGTCAGCTGATCTGAGGCACCGAGAGGGACTATAAGGAAATAAAAGCTCAGCAAGATACAATGGAGCAAGACCATTCAAAGACTTAAAAACAAATAAAAGAATCTTAAAATGAATCCTGAAAGACACTGGAAGCCAATGAAGGGATGCCAAAAT